CTGGTTTCCTATCTCACTAAGGGTAAAAGGCTGAATCCTATCACCTACAAGGCCCTGCGGGTTTGTCCCTCCCCTATCATTACCTTATTACCATTGCTCACTCTGATAAGCCAAACTGGTCTTGTGCTATTCCTCTAACGCTTTGGACATAGCTCATTCCTTCACCTCCTTCAACTCTTTGTATAATCATCTCCTTCTTAATGAGGCCTTCCCTAGTCACCCTACTTAAAATTACAATACCCTTCCCACTGTATTTCCCCATCTCCTATTTTTCTCTATTTGCCTTATCACCATTTGACATACCATACATTGTACTTTTTATTTTGCCTTCCCTCAGTAAAATACAAGCATTATGAGAGCAAGGATTTTGTCTGTATTGTTCACTGCTATGTCCCTAGCACCCACAGTAACTGGGACATGGCAAGTGCTCCTTATTTTCTGAATAAATCCCAAGTCTTCATCATCAGCTTTCAGCTCGAGTGAAAGACCCACATTTCCAACTGACTACCTGACATCTCTTCTGCTCAAAACTGGCTTCTCCTCCTCCCAACCCAGATTAAAGGTATCACTGCCCAAACCCTAAAGTCACCTTTCATTCTTTCCGTAGCTAACTGATCTATATACTAATATATTCTACATCTTAAATGTCATTCAAATTCATTCCAATTCTTTTGAAATCTTGATATAGTTATTCAATTGACAAATAGTTATTGAGCACCTACTGTGTGTCTAGTATTACCTTGGATACAAGGAAATAATCATGAGCAAAACAGAGTCCTTTCTCATACAGAGCTTACAATCTTGTAGGGAACAAGGCAATCAATGATCAGATCCATTTTTCGTATTTTCAAATGAGGATAATAGAGGTATTAACCTTATACGATTATTATGAGAATTAAACCAGTTAATGTATATAAATGGCTTCAAACAGTGTTTTGCCACATAATAAATGCTAAGTGTTAGTAATTAATGAAGATACCCATCCTGAAGAAATAAAATAAAAAAGGCTGCAGTAGTTGAAGTATGAGTAACTATCCTGAAGAGACTGGCAGGGATATAATTTAAGGGTTTTAAGCAAGGGAATGGCTTCTATAATAAACATCTAAGTGATGAAATCACTCCCGCAACAGATCCTATCTGCCAAGAAAACAAACTGATCACATCAAGTTCCTCCTTTCTTTTTTTTTTTTGAGACGGAGTTTCGCTCTTGTTACGCAGGCTGGAGTGCAATGGCGCGATCTCGGCTCACAGCAACCTCCGCCTCCTGGGTTCAGGCAATTCTCCTGCCTCAGCCTCCTGAGTAACTGGGATTACAGGCACGCGCCACCACGCCCAGCCAATTTTTTGTATTTTTAGTAGAGAAGGGATTTCACCATATTGATCAGGACGGTCTCGATCTGATGACCTCGTGATCCACCCACCTCGGCCTCCCAAAGTGCCGGGATTACAGGCGTGAGCCACTGCACCCGGCCCCTAAGTTCCTCCTTTCAAACTTCCAAAGGGTCCCAGCCCTACTTATCATTACATGACAAGGGTCAGAAATCCTTACACAACTTAGAAAGCCCTTTTCAATACCACTCTGATTTACCTTTATGGTTAGTTTACCTATTTTCCTTTCCAAACTATCTTCAACTACCAACATATTTACTCATTTTACTATTCAATACAAATGTCTCACTGTTTTCAGCACTCTGACATTACTACAGCTCTCCTCCCCTCTTCAATACTTTTTTTTTTCTGATATTTGACTGGAAATCTGATACTGTTACAGTTCAAGGCATTTTCACCCACAGTTCAATCTCTCTTTCCAATTGTGTTAGAATGGGCCAGGCACAGTGGCTCACACCTATAATCCAGAGGTCAGGAGTTTGAGACCAGCCGGGCCAACAACATGGTGAAACCCCATCTCTATTAAAAATACAAAAATTAGCTTGGCATGGAGGCACATGCCTATAATCCCAGCTACTAGGGAGGCTGAGGCACTAAACTTGGGAGGTGGAGGTTACAGTGAGCTGAGATCAAGCTACTGCACTCCAGCCTGGGCGACAGAGCAGGGCTCCATCTCAATTAAAAAAAAAGACTGGGTTTCTACAAAATTCTCAGGAATTTGCTGCTAAAATGATGTCATGTATCAATTCAGATACATGATACTATGTTTCCTTCCTACTTCAAAGCATATTCCATTCCTCTGAGGTTCCATACCAAAGCCCAAAATTCTCTTAATGACAATGGACAGATTTTTTTTCTTTTTCTTCTTTTTTTTTTGAGACAAGGTCTCCTTCTGTCACCCAGGCTGATGTGCAGCGGAGCAATCATCACACAGCTCACTGCAGCCTCAACCTCCCAGGTTCAAGTGATCCTCCCACCTTAGCTTTGCAAGGAGCTGGGACTACAGGTGTGCACCACTATGCCCAGCTAATTTTTTAATCTTTTGCAGAGACAGGGTCGCACTATTGTTACCTAAGCTAGTCTCGAACTCCTGGCCTCAGCCTCCCAAAATGTTGGGATGACAGGTGTCAGTCACTGCTCTGAAACTACAAGTGTGCGCCACCATGCCCAGCTAATTTTTTAATATTTTGTAGAGACAGGGTCTCACTATGTTGCCTAAGCTAGTCTCAAACTCCTGGCCTCAGCCTCCCAAAGTGCTGGGATTACAAGTATGGATCACTGCACCCAGCCAAGATTTTTTTTTAAAGGCAATAAAACCTCAAGTCAACCTAGAAGTCAGGATCATTACATCAAGATCACCAGTGGAACCAAACATAAACGTCCTAAATATCAGAATCAAAGGCATGAGTTCTTTTTTTCTTTTTGAGACAGAGTCTCACTGTCCGCCAGGCTGGAGAGCAGTGGCACAATCCAGGCTCATTGCAACCTCCACCCCGGGGCTCATGCGATTCTTGTGCCTCAGCCTTCCCAGTAGCTGGAACTACAGACACGCACTACCATGCCTGGCTAATTTTTGCATTTTGAGTAGAGGTGGGGTTTCGCCATGTTGCCCAGGCTGGTCTCCAACTCCTGGCCTCAAGCAATCCACCCATCTCAGTCTCCCAAAGTGCTAGGATTATAGGCATGAGCCACCATGCCTGGTCGAAGGCATGAGTTCTTAACCAGAGGTCCATGGACTCCTCAGGGCTACAAGGTAGTTTTATGAAGCCCCTCAAACTGCATGCAAAGTACGTGTACATGCCTTTTTCTGGCGAGAGAGGGTCCATACCTTTCATCAGAGTTTCAAAGATATCTGTGACCTCCAAAAGGTTAAGAAGTGCTCTAGAGAAAAAGCAAAGACAAGCAAATGTGATTAAAGAGTGAGTCCTTTTTAGGCTGTCAGGAGTGCCTAATGTTTTCTTAGACTGCAACACTGAAATCAGGTCAGAGGACTTTATGTAAAAGTTACTTATCCAGTCAAATACAAGTTTAATATAGATCTGACAAACACAGATTTGATGGAAGGAGGAACTCCATAAACAAACACAATTATAAAAACAAGTAAGTCATGGGGCAGCTGGTGACTTACTCCAGGGATTTCAAAAATAGGATAAATAGTGTGGTGGCTCATGCCTGTAATCCCAGAACTTCGGGAGGCCAAGGTGGGCATATCACAAGGTCAGGAGTTCGACACCAGCCTGGCCAATATGGTGAAACCCCATCTCACTAAAAATATAAAAATTAGCCAGGCATAGTAGCACATGCCTGTAGTCCCAGCCGCTCAGGAGGCTGAGGCAGGAGAATCGCTTGAACCTGGGAGGTGGAGGGAGCAGTGAGCTGAGACTCCACCACTGCACTCTCCAGCCTGGGCTACACAGTGAGACTTTGTCTCAAAAAAAAAAAAAAAAAAAAAGACAAATAGAAAGAAAATATTAAGTCTTCTATGCATAGTTCCTTTTTGTCTCATTCAAAAATTCCTTTTCTATGTTTTATAATGGTACAGAAGCATACAATTTCTATAAGTACAGTATATATACACCAAGTGGAGATTATTGCTCAATTTTTCTTTTACTCATCACAATAATTATCAGGAAACCACTGATAGTCTATGCATTTCAGTACCACCAAGTTAACAATAACTTGAGAATAACACAAAAACCCACTAAACAGAGTTTAGAATCCAAGAGTAAGAAAAATATCAGCTTTCACAGAAAGACTAATAGGGGTCAACTAATAAGTGACTAAACAAAGGTCCTCTCCCTACCCTTAAGCTTTCTTAACAACAAAAACAAACAAAAAAACACTTCAAGCTTTAAAGGATCACTTTTCAGTTTCAGCTGTATCAGCCTGGTTTGTCCAAAACATCCAATAGGAAATCTACCTGTGAAACCACAGAGAATTAATCAAGATTAGTTTACCCTAAAAGAAAATACTCTTTGAAATTTTCTTTTTAATATATTTTTTAACTTTTTTATCTCTCTTAGTTGTTTGCAATCTACCTTAAATAAATACTCTCTCTTTCAGGAAAATAATAATCCAAGTATGAGAAAACTACCAAGATTCTCATAAGACAATTTAAAATAGCTTCTGTGATTCAGTGTCACCCAATGGTAAAACACCAGGAGATGCAGAGCCCATTGAGATATGAAATGGAACAGAGATAATCTTAACCTTGGAACTGTTTTTCCCAAATACTGCAGGTATGAATTCTCTCTGGTGGTAGGAGACGGTGTGTGAGGAAGGCTGGCAAGTGGAGAACCGCGTGAGAGAACTGGAAAACTTTTAAATCTGAGGTGTCTGTACTTCTATCTCAAGGCCTCCTCAACCCCAGGCTTCTAAGGTGAGGCCTTTCCCTGGTTTCAAAATTCTCCCTGGTGGCGTAATCCCACCTAGAAAAGGGGAGTGTCTGGGATCTATTCAAATAGCGACACACAAAAATGCCACCATCTGCTAATATAATAGGCGAGTCTCAGCTTCAGAAGACAGACTGGAAACATAATTCCAGGGAAGAAAAAGGGATCCTGGGTCCGACGTGGGGCAAAGAGGAGGGACCAACTGACGTAATGCAGACCAGAAGAGCAACGAGGAGTATAACAGGTAGAAGGCACTTACAACCTGGTGGACAAGGGTGACGGACGATACAAGGATGAAGGGAACAGAAATAACAAAAAAATATAGCAGTAAAACCGTGAGGAGAAATGGAAAATTAGGGAAGGCGTAGTGTGGAAGGGTGGCACAAAAGAGCTACGGCGGGAGCCAAGAAACAAAGTAGAAAAGGCTGCAAGGAGAACACGTAGGAGAAGACGCAAGTCACTGTGCAGAATTCAGTTCCCAGAAAAGTCCAACTGAGCCCTTCCCCGATTTACGGTACCTTCAGCTTATGGAGCTCCACCGTCTCGGTCGCCATCTTGTTACCCCTCACTCCGCTAAGCCCCCACCCGCTGCCTCCGCCTCCAGGAGCTCCCGCCTTAGGCGTAGAGATGCAAGGCTGACCAATCGTTGCCACTCTTGCTCCCACTACATACCATCAGCTCTTCCCATTGGTCAATAGCTGACGTCCCTCATGTCTCTCGGCAGCTTTCCCCACCTCTTTCAAAAGGGGGGACAGAGAGAGGGGCGGGCACTTATCTTACGAACGACAGAAATGGCAACCAATTGTGCGTCTGCATCACATATCACCAACCGCTGATTATGTTCCTCCAATAGGGAAGGGGCAGACGGAGAGGAGTCACTTCCTGGAGACTTCAGATGTGGTAGCCGGCGCCTCGCCCATAAGCAGACAGGGATCTGAAGCTGGCAGGTAGGGGCCGCGAGGACTAGAAAGGTTGCTAAGGAAATATGGTGGGAGGCGAAAGGGGCGCCGAGGAAGCGGTGACTTAAATGCTGAGAAACGAATGCTGAAGGGAGCCCTGAAAAAAACCGACGAACATGAGAGGAGGAAGCTGGGAGGGAATGGGGCGGGCTTAAGGAACTGGCGGGTGGCTGGGGCGGGCAAGAGCCGCTTCCTAACCAGACATCATCAGCTTTAGAGCTACCACAATTTTAAAGATCCGAGTTCAGTTGATCACTGCCGCCCCTGGAGTCAGAGCTAAGGCTCCATCTCTCGAAACGTTGAGCTCAGGTTCCTTCCTAACCCAGTCCAGAAGGCGTGGGCAAGTTGTTGTCGTGCCCCACGCTTGAGAGAAGCAGTGGGGATGCTGACTGCTGACATGCCACGGAGGTGAGACAGGGTGGACAAGCCCCAGAGAACAGGTTGGGACTAGAGCTTTACTCTGTCATCCCTTCTTAGTGGTTCTTTGATGATTCCATGACTTTCTCCTGGAATTCTGGGTGTGCGTGACCTCTTCATGGTTAACTTCTTCAGGAAAGTGAGATTTCCTGTTTCCCTTGCTCCCTGAAGTGAGTGCCCCAAGCCTACGCATACACCTTCATGTTACAGTTGAAACGTAAAGATCAGTGAGAAAATGACTATGTCTCTAAAATGTAGTGAGGATTCTTCTTGCCTTTTAAAGTTTTCCCCAAGTCTTCAGTTTTTATTTTCTGCGTGATGGGGAAGTTCTTCATTCCCAATAGAGTTCAGGGAATCTGAGAGACAGCTGGGAGAAAGCTCGAAGAGGGGCTGAGAAAAAAATGAGTTGGACCCTACCTGATCCCCCATTATGACTAGGATGAATGTGGGGGTGGCACACAGCGAAGTAAACCCCAACACTCGAGTGATGAATAGCCGAGGCATCTGGCTGGCCTACGTCATCTTGGTAGGACTGCTACATATGGTTCTACTCAGCATCCCTTTCTTCAGCATTCCTGTTGTCTGGACCCTGACCAACGTCATCCACAACCTGGTGAGCAGTAAACCATGCCCTTGTGCCCATCCCAGAGTTTCCCAACCACAAGCAAAATAAAATTACTAATTGTTTGGGGATTTGTATCTTCCTTTTGGGATCTTAACATCATTCTTGGACTGAAGAACTACTTTCTGCCCCTCACACTACCACCCTCCATGTTCCCAGGCTATGTATATCTTCCTTCATACGGTGAAAGGGACACCCTTTGAGACTCCTGACCAAGGAAAGGCTCGGCTACTGACACACTGGGAACAAATGGACTATGGGCTCCAGTTTACCTCTTCTCGCAAGTTCCTGAGCATCTCTCCTATTGTGCTGTGAGTCTATGAGGGAAATGGGGATATGCTGGGTTAGAAAGAGTTCCAAGAGCCAGGCAGAAAGGCCCATAGGGAAGCTGTTAAAAAGCAGGCTACCCATCTAAAACCCTTTGAAGATATTATGATATACTAGTTCTAAGCCTACAGAGAGCAATAAAATGTAGAAGACAATACTGTAATCAAGCATTCCTTACTGCCTCCTTGGTAGTAAGGAAATGAAGGGACTAAGATAAGAGCCAAGTAAAACCAAATGATTTTACACTGCCAAAAGAAGCAAATAAAGGCAGAACTGATATTAATCTTCAAAAACACTGTAGGGAGTGGAAGCAAAGAAGACTCTTAACAGTCACACAGACTGAACTAGCCTCAGCTGTCATTTGCCATGTCATTAACAATGAACAGAAACTGACTTATAGTCTCCAGTTAAAGGTACTATGAACCCCAGAGTAAACGCTATTGATATAGCTGGAATATTTTTAAGATAATTTAGGACTACATACAATAAAACTGGTCATTTTAAATAGAAGAGAAAGAACAGGGCACTGCAGTGCATGCCTGGAGTCCCAACTACTTAGGAGGCTATGGCAGAAAGATTGTTTAAGCCCAGGAGTTTGAGGTTGTACTGCACTTATCACATTTATGAATGGCCACTGCACTACAACCTGGGAAACATAGTGAGAACTGCCTCTTAAAAAAAAACATATAGAGAAGGCTACCCTCACTCACCCTATGTTTTTCTCTCCCCAGCTATCTCCTGGCCAGCTTCTATACCAAGTATGATGCTGCACACTTCCTCATCAACACAGCCTCATTGCTCAGTGTACTGCTGCCAAAGTTGCCCCAGTTCCATGGGGTTCGTGTCTTCGGCATCAATAAATACTGAGGGATGGGTTTTGGGACAGCTCCATGGGCATGGGGAAGGCACTGAAACAGAGGAGTATAAAAAAAATCTTTCTCTTCTCCATACCATCTTCTACATCTTGAAAGCCTGAGAACTATGCAACCTTTCCCAGACTCCCAAGAAAAGAAGAGATTGGCAAATGGGACTCCTAGGTCCAGTCCTGTTAGCGGCAAGTTTCTTTACCGGGTGAGGTAAGGGCCAGATCACTCTCCTCCATAGCAGGAAGCCATTTGGGCAGTTTGTTTGGTGATTACATCTTTCCATATCTTCTGCACCTACTACCTTCCAGCTCTGTTTTGCTGTGTATTTTTCTTCTAATAATTTTTTTCAGCTATGCCTGCAGTTTAATCAGCAGGAAGGGTAGAGAGCTGTCCTCATAAGGCTGGCGGGGACGGGGGAAGATGGAATACTGACCTAAAGTAAAAAACTTAAAGCAATTCTCCAATCCCCTCTACTTTGGTCCAGTAAGAGGTGCTCTTCACTCTGAGCTTAACACTTAGTAGGGAACAGATTCTCAAATGAGAAAAAGGGCTCCAGCTGTATGGGCAAAAAAGAGGGAAGATACAGGTTGCCAGTTATACATTTATAGAAAGATAATCCCCTGGCTTTAAATAGATATGTACATACAAATATGAACAAACTTAAAAAAAATACAAACCCTTGGATAACAAGGGGGGTTTCTGGGAACCCCCGTATCCTTCCCCCTCACCCAAGGGCAGTGGGCATGAATCAACTTTTTAAAAATGATTAATTTTGGCCATCCTTGCAGAAAACAGCCTGAAATTGGGTGATTGACCCACAAAGTGAAAGTTGAGGGAAAATTCAGTTTCCACTCTCTGAACTCTCTATCTCCTGTCATTAGGGCTACATGCTTTCTTGTTCTGTCTTTTAACTATTATATCAGGGAAAAGGAGAGGACTCCCTCCTGAAACGTGTCAGGAAAGAAGATAGACTTGTACCTTTAAAGGGCAGGAAAAAGTGTCATCTGCTCTAAAAGCAAACGACAAGACAAGGCATACAGACCCCAAGGAAATACCCAGTTCCCACACCTCAAAGGGATACACTGTCCAGCCCAGGTCCAGGCCCTAGGTTCTTTACTCTAGCTACCCCCTATTTCTTTGGTATCGTCAAAAGACAAGATTCAGGCTGGGTGCAGTAGCTCATGCCTGTAATCTAGCACTTTGGGAGGCCAAGATGGGTGGATCACCTGAGCTCAGGAGTTCGAGACCAGCCTGGGCAACATGGTAAAACACCGTCTCTACTGAAAATTAAAAAAAAAAAAATTAGCCTGGCCAGGCATGGGGTGCACACCTATAATCTAGCTACTTGGGAGGCTGAGATGGGACAATTGCTTGAACCCAGGAGATGGAAGTTGCAGTGAGCTGAGATTGTGCCACTGCACTCCAGCTGGGCAACAAAGCAAGACTCCGTGTCAAAAAAAAAAAAAAGAAAGATTCAGTTCCTGGGTGCTGGGGGAGGAGGGACAAATCAAACTCCATCCTGTGCTGTATACATCCTTTTGACTCCCTGACATTGATTTGAGGAAAGAGAAGGGATTTCAGCGTTGGAAGGGCCTCCTCAGTTTCTTCCGCCGCTTCGTTTTGGCTTCTCCCTTGGGTACTGTGCTGTTGGGCTTAGAGGCTGCAGTGGCTCCAGGGGCAGGCTGAGGAGCTGCAAAGAAGTTCCCATTGGGCATCTGCCCTGGGGGTGCTTGAAAGATCCGGCTCAAGAAATCCTGGAGATCAGCAGGAGGAGCATCTGGGGTAGCTCTGCGATAAAACAGAAGAAATGATAAGGCAAGAGATGTTAGAGTTATATGGTTACCTAAGTTAGATATACTTATCAGTTCCCAAACTTCCTAGAAAACAAGTCCCCTAGATTTCCTAAAGTAGGTCATCTGAAACCATATTCAAAACTGAAATAGTTGATAGATTATTGATAGAAATACCACCTACCTCTGCCGCCCACTGGTGCCTGGAATCCGAGAACCAAATGAGATGTGATAGGGAACTCTGTGGGTATCTGGGGAGATACCTACACGCTGGCATCCAGCCCACTCTATAAACATGAGAAATAACCAAAACTTTGCAGTTTAGATCACATAAAAGATCAGGAAGTATGAGGCTGTATTTCTAGAGGACAGAAGAGTACCTGTGATGTCATACACCTTTCCATCCATCACTGCAAAGTAGGTGATCTTGAGACCCAACATGCTCGACTCTGCCCAGAAGTCTCCTTCCTCAGCAGGATGTAGCCTATTACATTTAGCACAGTATCTGGCATTCTTAGGTTCCCGGTCCATTTCAAACCTCCTGCAACCAACGAAAGGATAGTTGCTTAATTTGTCAAGCCTACCTAGAGCATTGCTAGTAGTCTCATCATTATTCACAAATAGGGCTCAAACAACTAAAATTACCTCCACTTAGTTATTTCATATGCCTTCAATGTTCTATCTTAAAGCTACTTTTTCTTAGTGCTAATTCAATTTGTCAGTCTCTTGACAATATGACAAAGGTAGAAACTTAAGGGTCTTTTTACTATGAGATACAGATGTAATTCTGGGAAGATCTTTGGTTACTTAATGCCTAAGCCGTGATTGTCCCATCCCTCTCCTATTTTATACCTATGCTTTCCTTGGCATCGGCTACACATCATAGTATTCATTGCCTCCTTGAGGTCATCTTGCAGCTTGGACAGAAACTCATTTACTGACCGGCTCAGCTCATTCTCTGCCATTCGTTTCCTAAGAGAAGAAACGCTTTATAAGTCAGAAGGTATTGAGGGAAGGACAAAGGGAAACGCATCAGTTGGCCTCTTGAGGCCCCTGTCTAGCTAGAAAGACAAGTGACTTCAGTTCTCTCCACCTCAAAGAGCCTCCATCCCCAAGTCCACATGCCTCTCCTATTGAAGATTTTTCATTTACCATTACCTGACAATTTCCCATCTCCAACTTACATCTCATATTCCTTTCGCTTTTCAGCATTGCTGACAATGTCCCAAGCTGCTCGCAAAACCTTGAAGGCCTCCTCAGCCCGGGGATGATGATTTTTGTCAGGATGAACCTACCAAGACAGATTTCATTACAAATCCATTTCAACCCTCTCCCCATGTTAAGTCTGTTCTCATATCAAAGGATTCTCTTTCATCACCCTTTTGAAGACAATGATTAATTGCTCTGGCTCTGCAGATAGATGTGGTTCAATTCACAGCTCTGTTAATTAGCTACATTACCTTGAATATCTATGGGTTTTTTTTCTTTTTGAGACAAGGTCTCGCTGTGTTGCCTGGGCTGGAGTGCAGTGGCAGGATCTCAGCTCACTGCAACCTCTGACTACCAGGTTTTAGCAATTCTCCTGCCTCAGCCTCTCTAGTAGGTGGAATTACAGATATGCGCCACCACACCCAGCTAATTTTTTTTGTATTTTTAGTGGAGATGGGGTTTCACCTAGTTGGCCAATCTGGTCTCAAACTTCTAACTTCAAGTGAACCTCCCACCTCAGCCTCCCAAAGTGCTGGGGTTACAGGCATGAGCCACTGCACCTAGCCTGAATATCTATCATGGACTGTTGGGAGGATTAAATAAAAATAAATGTGAAATATGTAGCAAAGAATCAGGTACTAAGGTGGATTCATCATCCCAGTTTGCCTGAGACTGTCCCAGTTTTAGCACTGAAAAGTCCCATGCCTCTAGAAACTCCACAGTCTCGGATGAATAGGGACAGTTGGTCTCCGGCACTCACATGTATCAGTCATAAAATAAGGTTCCAAAGATGTTATATGTTGAAACTCTTTGTTTTTGTTTTGAGATGGAGTTTCCCTCTTATTGCCTGGGCTGGAGTTCAATGGCATGATCTTGCAAGCTCCACTGCCCAGGTTGAAGCAATTCTCCTGCCTCAGCCTCCCGAGTAGCTGGGATTACAGGTGCACGTCACCACACTTGTTTAATTTTGTATTTTTGTAGAGATGGGGTTTCTCTATGTTGGTTAGGCTGGTCTCAAACTCCTGACCTCAGGTGATCTGCCCACCTTGGCCTCCCAAAGTGCTGGGATTATAGGCATGAGCCATCGCGCCAGGCCTGGAACTCATTCTTTTATAACTAGAAAATTTTCATATCCAAAACTTCCTACAGTGATCTGCCTTTTGGTCCCAGAAATGAAACGGCATATCATGGTCTTGGAGGCTTTTTATATAATTTTCTCCAAGACAAATAATATCCTCTCTTTCTACAGCTTCCTGATTGTACCCATCCCCATTCCTCAAAAATACGGAGATAAAGCTAGTTTTTTGACTGATGCCAAATAACTAAATACTGTTAAATTTCCTATATTCCTAAGCTAACTGAACAGCCTTTTAGTCATGTTCACATTGGGGCCTAGTAAGGCAGCGAGGGGGTTCAATAAAAGCCCAGATACACTCTGGTCCAGGACAAGAGAGATATTTGGGTTATAGGGATAGATGTTTTGAGGGTAGGGGAACTTAACTACATCTCTACTCCAAGAGAAAATGAGAATTTTTGTTAAAGAATATTCTCATCCGGGCACGGTGGCTCATGCTTGTAATCCCAGTACAAGGCAGGTGGATCATGAGGTCAAGAGATCAAGACCATCCTGTCCAACATAGTAAAACCCCGTCTCTACTAAAATACAAAAATTAGCTGGGCGTGGCGTGGTGGTGTGCGCCTGTAGTCCCAACTACTCAGGAGGCTGAGGCAGAATTGCTTGAAGCAAGGAGGCAGAGGTTGCAGTGAGCTGAGATCACACCACTGCACTCCAGCCTGGCGAAAGAGCAAGGCTCTGTCTTAAAAAAAAAAAAAAAAAAAGAATATTCTCAGGCTGGGTGAGGTGGCTAACACCTGTAATCCCAGCACTGAGAGGCCAAGGCAGGTGGATCACCTGAGGTCAGGAGTTGGAGACCAGCCTGACCACCATGGAGAAACCCCATCTCTACTAAAAATACAAAATTAACCAAGCATAGTGGCACATGCCTGTAATCCCAACTGCTCAAGAGGCTGAGGCAGGAGAATCACTTGAACCCAGGAGGTGGAGGTTGCGGTGAGCCCAGATCA